GCTGTGTCTCTCCTGAGACACGGAGAAAGGGTTTGGGTTTTTTTAATTTTCCTGGTGGCTGCAGGCTGCTCTGTGACTGGGCATGAAAAGAAGCTGCTATTGAAAATTATTTTTGCCATTGCAGGTTCAAAGCTCTAGAGGTTTTATGAAGATTTCTGCTCATGAATATCTTCAAAAGCCCAGACTGGGAAGCAGAAGGAAAACAAATACATGTTTTTGCTTAATTTATTTAGAGAGTTTTATTTATTTAGAGAGTATTTAGAGAGAGTTTCAATGAAAGAAGCTCCAATAAATTATTTGGATGAGACAAAAGAATTTGGTCTCAACTTTTCATCTTTTAAACCTATAGTGACTGCAACAGAATTCCCCTTCGTGTGTGGTAGGACTAATAGGGCTGGACAGTACCTTGCAGCTCCTTGGCTCAAGGATTTCTGTCTTCAAGCAGATACTAGGATAAATTAAATCATTCTAGCTGTCCCTTGCTCACTTTGGGCAGTTAAAGATTGTATACGCAAGCTTTAGGAAAACAAAACAAAACAAAGAAACAAAAAACCCACCAACCAGCAAGATTCTGAGTTTAAATAACCTAGAAAGTGAGATAACTGAAGTCCTGGTGACAGTCCAAAGCAAGATAATCTAGCACTGGCAGAGCTGGCTTCACTGTAGAACAGACAGACAGAGAAAATGGTTTGGAGGCCATGAAAATTTTCTTTTAAAGAGTGTTCTCCAGCTTATTCAGGGGGAAAATGAAGAACCTTGACACGTTTGTTTGTGTTCTGTTTTGGTTTTGTTTTTTTTTTTTAATTAAAGAATAGCACTTCGACATCTCCATGGCAGAAGGATTCCACTGGTTCTTCAGAGATGCTCAAATCTGAATTGACATCCTTCCATAAGGGTAGAGATGGAGAAGCTGGTATTTAACAACTGGCCTCCTGCAGGATGTCCCAGATTCCTCAAAATGCACCTTCTTATAACTTCATAAACCAGCTAATGTAAGATGTTACCTTAGCTTACAAATCTTGCTCTTCTGACCAGCTAAGGAAAGACAGCAAAGGAGCCAATAGTTCTATTAGTTTGAACTAGAAAAGCTGAAGCATGTGTGAACATGAGAAAGACAACCTGTTTTCTCGGAAGGCTAAATGTTAAAACAGATTCTCCATACAACTGCTAGATGAAGGTCCTAGCCAATTTTCAGACAGAGCTAAAAAACCACTTGATCCAAGATGCAAGTCTGCCCATTTCTCCAGCCTGTTGAGTTCCCTCTGAATGGCAGCACACTCATCTGGTCTGTCAACCACTTCTCCCAACGTTTCATCATCTGCAAACTCACTGCAAGTGCACTCTGTCCCATTGTCCAGGTCATTATTCAAGATGTTAAACAGTATTAGCCCCAGTATCAGCTCTGGGGGTACACCAGGGACTGGCCTGCAGCTGGATTACAACTCTGTGCCCAGCAGTTCAGCCAGCATTTAATCCACCTCACTGCTGATTTATCTAGACCTTACTTCATCAGTTTCTATGAAGATGTTATGTGAAACTGCAACAGCCTTTCTAAAGTCAAGAAAAATAACATCCACTGCTCTCCCCTCATCCACTTAGACAGTCAGCTGATTGTAGAAGACTATCTCTTTGGTCAGGCATGATTTTCCCCTTCACAAATCCATGCTGACTACTCCCAGTCACCTTCTTGTTCTTAATACGTCTGGAAACAATATCCAGGATCAGTTGCTCTACCACCTTCCAAAGGATCAAGGTGAGGCTGACCAGCCTATAGTTCCCTGGGTCTTCCTTCTTGCCTTTCTTGAAGACAGAGGTGACATTTGCTTTCCTCCCAGCCTCAAGAACCTCCCCCATCACCAGGGCTTTTCAAAGGTAATTGAGAGTGCCCTCAGAATGACATTAACCAGCTCCCTCTGAACTTATGGGTGCACCCCATCAGGCCCCAAGGGTTTGTATGTCCAGCTTGTTCCCTAACCTGATACTTCCTCACTGAGGTTTAGTCTTCCTTGCTGCAGTCTTCCCCACTGGTCTCAAAGGCCTGATGGCTGGACTTGCCAGTAAAGACTGAAGCAAAGGCGGCACTAAGTACCTCAGCCTTTTCCATATCCATTGCCAACAGGTCTCCTGCCCCATTCAGCAGCAGACCCACATTTTCCGTACTCTTTCTTTTGCTGCCCATGTACAACGCTTGTTGTTGAGGCTTTTTCCATTGTTCTGTGGTCCTACATGTCTTTACCCTCTCTGTCAAGAAGAACAATGAATAAAACAAGCAAAGCATCTACTTCCCACAGGACTGAAAATAAGTCTGCTAATCTGGGTTTCTTCACAATGTGTCAGGGCTGGAAACGCCATAGACTTGGAAGGGAATCAGCACCCTGACTGCAAATGGGAGGAAGCAAAGTGCTGAGCATGCTGTCCTAAGCATTGAAGGTTGGCTAACTAGAAAATGAGGCAGTCAAATGCCTTAACTGTCTGTTAAAACATAGGCCTTAATTGTGCTTCAGTGAATTTAGAATCTAGATTGGACATAACATTAACTTCACTATTTCACAGAGCCTTCTGGCAAAGTGTTCAAATTTAAGTATCTTTCTGATCTTTTGATGGAAAGTTTTATATTTTTTTATATACATATACACACTTACATGCACACACCCCCATATATATATACACACACACGACACTGCCCTTTAAATAGTGACATTTTCTCACACTCACCATCTGGGTACCACACAGCAGTCACAGTATTATTTTTTTCCCCGTGTACAAGCAATACCACAATGTAGCAAATTCAGTCACTGCTAGCTTTTCTATGATGCCCAATTCTAAACCCATTGATCTTCTATAGCATATATTAATATAACATATATAACCACAAAGAGTTTGGAAACAACATTTTTGAAAATTTTCCAAAACCTCTGACAATGCGACAGAGAGAGCAATCTGACCTAAATAACCAGGCTGGTACTTTTACTATCAAAATGAGGCAGAACATAAGAAGGACAGATGGTGCCCAGTTGCATTTTGAATGCGTTGCTGCACACACTGGTGTTGGAAATCCAAAGAGTAAGAAGATACTAGTGCTAATTTGACATCCAGGCTAGCTGTGCTCTTCGTAATTCAGTGACTTCTGATCGCTGTCCTCAGGACAAGCACTCCCCAGAATCCTGCCTCTTCATGGGAGGCTCTGCTCACTTGGGTGGTTAACCAGACCTCTGCAAACCAGAGACTTCCCTAGTTGCTCTGTATTTGGAAAGATGACCTGGAAATGGGTGCTAGATCAAGATTGTTACTAAGGGTAAGATGAGCACCTTACTTGCTGTGGCTAAGTTCTGGGCAGTGTTTAGAGTGAGAAGCAAATGACAGATAGAAAGGCCTAGTTTTCTTAAGTGCTGCTTAGGTCAGTATTTTCCTAGATATAAGAAAGCAAGAAAAACATAAAAGGAAAATGACAAAATTACTACAAAGCTTCACACTGGCAGGAAGAAAACTTTAGCAAAGCAGTTTTCTACATGCCATGGAAAAAAAACTTTGCAAAGTTGAATTTTGAATTGCCCAACCTACACATTACCCCACTAGCTCCTTCCAGCATTTCACACAAAAATTATTTCTGCTTACCTATAAAGATAGGCATTTTCCTTCTATCACATTAAAACAATCATTATGTGCTTTTAGCATAAATTCTACTTATAATACGAATTGTGTGAACATGATCATGACTAGTAGTCATAGATACGATGATGAAACAGTAAAAAATTCTGAACTCAATATTGAGTACTAAGCATCTCCTGCAAGCCCAGTTGCATACGGTTTAAGAAAAGACAGACACAAACAGATTAACAAATTTGCTTAGATCAAACATAACCAAGGGCAGACATGGACGAGACTTCTCAATTTCAGTCTAATCGGAGGGTTAAATTGAGTTATCTAATGACTAGTCAGCCTGCTTCCTTTCCATTACACACAGCATTTTGCAGATACGCTGCGTATTTCTGGAAAGGACGCATCAGGGAAGCCTGTAGCTGTTGACAATTTGCATATTTTTTTAGGGGGCAATAAACACAAAGCCCTGAAAGACAGAGGTTAAGTTTCATTTATTAAGAGGACCCATCCACTTTTAAAATAACATGTGAGTACCATAAGATTAATTTACTGAATGACTGAAATAAATTTTTCTTACCAGTACAAAAAAGATGGTGTCATAGCAAGTTACAACATCTCTTCAAAAGTGGGACCCAACACACACCTCAAATACTGCATTTCTTGTGGTCCTGTTCTGAATAATCTTTGAGATAATATTCACACCCTTGCAGGAAACCACAAACAAGGACTAAAGGCAATACCACATTCTTCTGTACCACCAATTATAAAGCAGTCTAAACCTGCATCAATTTTTGGAGGAATTGTCCCTTTCATCATCTTGCTTTTTGGAGAAAACTAGATTTGCTAAATTTGACTTTGCATCTCTATTGCAATTGTTTGTATCTATTTGAAAACTCATTGTCACTCCTTGCATTCAGCATTACTGGCAGAAACTGCTGGTGATTTGCCTAATCTGACATCCCTTGCCATCCTGGCAAGCACCAGATGCTACAAGAAAGGTGCTAGAAACCCCACAACAGCAGACAATAACGCAATAAACAGCTTTTCAGGAGACTACCCTTTCAGAGCTTTTCTTCATTGGTCACTGCGCTAAAAGATGAAGTTATATCCATTAAAAGTGATGTGACATCCGCATTTATAAGTGATCGATTTCTTCATCAATTCTGCCAAATATCTTGCCTCAGTGACCTCTTGTGGCAGTGAGTTTGAGACATATTAGGCCAGCATCGTGGATGACAATTCTTCCATTTAAATGACACACAATTAATAAAAATGAGTAAAAACCTGATGAGTAAATGCATGGGGAACACAACCATTTCATTACAGTGTGATCTTTTAGCAATACATACAAAATAGAGGATGTTTCCTTTTTTTTTTGCTTCATACATGAATACACTTACCACTTTCTGGCCTGAGAGGTAAACTAACAGGTGGACACAGGTTAGGCATGGTGTTCTTCAAGTCAGCTGAAAGCAGAAAAAAACAAAACATTTGAAAACAATTACACTTGAAGGAACGTAATCAACACCTCAGTATTTCCAGCATGACTTTTGGGATCTCGATGTTGCATCTTCTCACCACAAACACCAAGAGTAAGGATGAGAGGCTGCTTTGCTATCTAACACTTTTGAGCTTTTACATGAAACCAGACTTCCCTAAATTCCATATTTATAAACATTCCTACAAACAATTTTCAAAACATAGTTATTTAAGAGCAACTCATTTCAGTAGTTCTGTGGTTTTTTCCATGCCCCGCTCTGTATTTGGCTTTCTGCATCACAGAAGACACGAGATTTTCTCTGCTTCCTGATTAGGAAACTGGAATTTCTCAAAACAAGAATTAGGAACAAGTCAGTTTCCAGCAGGAAACTTTCCAAAGTAAAACTGAAATAATCATTCATATTTTCCACACACAAAACTTCTCCTTTCCTAACATTTCCCTTAAACATTTGTAATTTCAAACAACAAACAAGAAGTTTCATCTGTGCGTTCATATTTTGTAAAACACTTCAGCTAATCAAATCAGTTATAAATTCTCTACTAAGACAAAATAAATTACCATCCCTACAGAAGCTGAAGACAGATCAATTTTCTGTTTGCTTCTTCCACTCTGTACTGCCCATGCATGTAATCAATAGATATTTCTAAAAACTCAGGAGTTTTTACCCTTCACATTAACAGGAATGAAGAATTGGGGCTCTCCAGAACTCTTTAAAGTGCTGCTACATGCTCCTCATTGAGTGAACTGCAACCATGACTATACATACAAAGTCAAATTGCTAACGAGCAGAGCTGTGCGGGCAAACAGCTCACGTGTCCACTTAGCGTATCATGAAACACAGAGACACAAGTACCTTCCTACAATAAGACCGTGGACTACAACCAAAGGTCCTGCTTCATGCTAATGTCCCACTGCCTACAGTAAATTCCTCTTTCAGATTTCACTCATTTTCCCTTTTAGCCTCAGAGCTTTCTTGTTCCTCTTCCTGGTTCCCAGACCTCTAACACACCAGCACAACTGATACAAATTTTTGTCTGCAAATATCTCCATTTGCATAAACATCTGTGCCTCGCTCTGTATTATGGTGGAAACACATCTGAATCTTCCTAACTTCATAAAGAAATGTCACTGTCTTTCTTAGCACTCCTCCCTTTGCATACACTCCAGGCTCCTCTTCATCATCCCTCAGTCCATGAAGTGAGCAACATACTTTATTTTTAGTTGGTTCTTTGTCAATGACAGGAAAAACAATTCCAAGAAGTGGAAGCGTATCTACGCCTCCACTGTCTCCTCTTCACTTTGCCTTTCTACCATTCTTCATTCTTACCCCTGGCTGTTTCTCAGTCCCCCCTGCCCACATGCTCCTGCCATTGCCTACTTTATCGGGCCTGTTGTTCGCTTCCTCTCAGCTCTAGACCCTCAGCTCACCCCCCCTCAATCCCACACCAAGGGTCTGGGAAACCCTATAAGCTTCCGTGGTGCCCCCTCAACTGTGTCTCCTTTTTAACAAGGGTTACTCCACTGGGGGAGGAAATGGATGGTCTAGCGGGCGGAGTGGCAGCGTAGGACTTGGAAAAGCTCAGGATCAAGTTCTTATTTCAGACACTTCCTGTATGAATGTTTTCTTTAAGTTTACCAATGCTGTAAAATGCAGTGCATTGCCAGGATATCTGATTTAGCTTTACACAGCTTGAACTGGATTATCTTTATATCACATGCACTGGACAGTATATATCTACACTTCATGCCACCTCTCTCCACACAGGTATCAGTCCTTCTCTACTCTGCAAGAACTAAGGGAGTTTAAAAGCAAGAAAAAGTACTCTTTATTAATTTTTTTTCCCCTGATTCTGTCAACATCACCAGACTTGCCTCAATGCTTTCAGTGGAGTTCAACAAGGTCTTGCCCATTTAGACTCAATAACAGGCTATCCTCCCATAAAGGGGGATACACTCAGACAGGTGTTTGTTGTCCTTATTGTTTCAGTTATGTTAAATCAAAGCTTAACAAAGTAGAATTAGAGCCACTCTTGAGGAATATGACAAATGACAAACCCATTGAAATTTTTCAACAAAGTAATGGAGTCTTTTGTTTTGCTATGGAAAAGAAAATTCACTTTGACTAGATCTGGTTTTGATTCTTCTTGAGGAAATAACCTAACCTCTCATAACTTCTGTTCTGTTTAAACACACAGTGGCTTCTTACTGCTTGAAGAATACAGTGCTACCTTGGAATCTGGTCTTGGCTCTTTCTTTAACAAAACAGCCAAAAGTTAATTTTAAATTCTGTAACAAAACCAAACCTTTTGAAATTATACATCCACACACTGTTAAACCATAAGCCAAGCAGTGAGAAACAAAGAATTGTGTCCTCACCAGGGCTGTGCAGTGGGACAAAAATGATTTGGATTCTGACATTGGCCACAAGTCTCCCATAAAGTCTAAGAAATTAAATTATACCTCTTTGAGGTATTTCTATTTCCTTTCTATTAAAATAGAGATTAAATTGCACCTTTCTTTCCCTTGCACGTATTTGTCTGCCTTGTCTATTTGTGATGCTTGCAAATGGGTCCTCCATCTGAAAGTTGACACTTCTATACATTGAAGCTAATTAATAAGCTTCAATGTGCAGAAACCAGTCAGAAAGGCCATGTGCCCTGCATCACTTACCAGGCTTTTGGTACCAGCCAAACGGGTGTATTCTGACTTCAGCATCTGGTGAACTACAATTTGAAACTTGCCAAACACTTCTTGTTTCTTCAGCGCACGTCTGGATTCCTAGGCTGTTCAGAGTCAGGCACGTGATCTTTCCACCTGCCAGGGAAATACATGGTTATAGAAACGATGAGGAAAATTTTCGTCTTCTAGATAGTATTTTGAGGAAAGTGAATACAGCACGGTTCCACTGAGTGTTAAAAGGAATTCCGCTGACTTAGAAATCAAAAGAAGGAAATAGCTAAAATGGGCCAAATTTTTCTGTTGTTAAAAATAGTGTTGAAAAATCACAACTACTTCAATATGAAGGAAGGTGGATACCAACATTATAACCCATTAAGGTCACTAGGAGTATTTCCACTGAGCAAAGATCAGGACCTCTTCTTTGAGCAAGCAGCCCTTTCTCGTTAATGCAATACTGGAAATTAAATATCTGCATGTGTGTTGAAACACAGCCCCTACTTACATCAAGATAAAAAATCTGCCTTTGAAAGACCTAGTATAAATATTTCTGTACCTGAAAAAAATGGAGGGTTTGAAACTCAGCTAACAGTTTCATTGAAGATTTATCCTAGCTCATGTTAAAATCACTACTGAAAATTCTCTTGACTGTATGAATGCCAGGACTGGATATCTGAAATGCCACAGATAATAAATATTCATCAGATAAACTAAGAGGTGTCAGTTTTGCACATTCAGTGCCTTAAAATCCTTAATTTATTTTAGAACTATTTAAAGAAACTTAAAGTCATATTCAGTTAAGACTTCAAATTTTGCATGGTCATATGGAGCTATGAAAACTGTTGACTATTTTTGATTTGCACAGTAATTCCAATCTAAACTACATTGGATTAATTTTCTAAGCCACTCATTTTTGACTGAGTGAAAATTTTGTCTGCTCAACAAAGAAAGGAATTAAAAAAATATATTTCTGAAGTGTTCCAAATTCACAAATGAATTGTAAAACCAGCGCATCCTAATGACCTCAGGGAGAGTTGAGCAGCACATGACACTTCCGAAAGCAAGGTTAGCCATTTTAGTGGCCTAAATCTGAATTGGAATGAAATATTAAAAAATATTTCATTGACTTTGACCTGGATGGCATCCAATATTAAACACCTGCTAAAGACTTTCTTTTAAACACAGCACTTCCTTTACAGCCAGTGGAAAGAAAAGTGCCTCCAGAATAGGCAACCAAAGCTATTAATGATGCCATAGTTGTGTCTATACCTCTCTCTGCTGACTATAGAGGGAGCATAGAGTGACAACACCCTTAAATTAGCCATCTCAGGTGAGTAAAATACGTTTGTTTGACTTTTTAATGGCTTTCAAGTCACACATACTTTTAAAGATCTGATTTTCTCAGACTAACAGAATTCCAACTTGAGATGTCTTAAGTAGCTAAAATACTATGGAGAAAAAGGTAGGCAACCTCTATCCCCAACCAATCTTCCTCAAGTAGAAGACAAAAATTTGGGAGCAGAGAAGTTCAGACATCCAAGAAAGCCAAAAGGCTAAGCTGCCCCAAAATTATCCATGGACATTATGTGCTTAACATGCATTTAATTTCAGTAATAGATAGTTTTCTAAGTCCCTTAGGTTTAAAAAAAAATTAAACAACATAAAAAAAAAATCACAAAAAAAAGTCAGCCAACATTTTGGAAGAGGTGTTGATAAATGAGAAGTAACAGTTCCCTGGAGTTTTATTAGTTTGAATTTCATGCTGTTGGAACTGCAGCCTCTTAAGGACTCATTCTCATGAACTTTTCTTAATAATTTCTGAGATGTGGAGCATGTCTTTGGGCTGAACTCCTAGGAAAGGCTATGGTTACTCAAAAGGTGCTAAAGAGAGTTGCATAAGATCTGCAAGGGCTTTTAAAGTGCCCTTCACAGCAAAAGAATGGTAAAGTTTGGAATAATGAAGGGAGACTGAAATTATTTTACAAATAAAAACAGTGAAAAAATACCTGATAGCTGAGAGTCATTAAAAAAGCCAAATCCCGTGCAACAGGGGTCAGCATCACACCAACGCTCACACTCAAAGAAACTGGGAAAGGAAAAACATCATTATTTTTAGTATCATTAATAATCTGTCTCTGTCATGGAGAAGGGAAGAGAAGAGAGGATAATGCATAGGGGAGAGACACTGACAACCTGTAAATAAGCTTTTCACAATAAGACTGCTTCATGGTTCTTTATACTGCATAGACACTTCCATACTTTTTGCATTTGTAAATGAAATTATGTTTGATCAGTATATGTCTACCAGACTACGTCTAATAATTTAGATGATTATTTTTACACCTGCCCTAAAAATATCAGCCTAAATTAATTTGCTGTATTATTGCCAAGAGATTTAACAGGCCAACCAGCAATTTAATAGCAGTGTAAGTAATAATTCTCATATATGTAATTGCTAATTATATACATTATTAACTATAACTCAATGATAAATTTAAATCATATGCTATTTTTTCTTCATTAAATATTCTTAAACAATGCTGTTCTTGGATCAATACATCTGATTCCCTTCTCTGCGTAACAGGCCCTTGGTGTTTCACGCATGGTTAAACTTCCAGTAAAAACAAAGGAACAGTCATGTCCTACCCATCTGAAACAGCTTTTCTGCTCATGTCAGTCTTATTCCTCACTGAGATCCCCATTACTTTCTGGAATGGTACACGTGTGTAGAAACTCTTCACAGAACTTTTTAGAGTGACTGGAAGGAAAAAGAAAAACAAAATTGGAAAAATCATCTTAACCTTGTAATTTACATATACTGGTCAAGTAATCACATAGTAAGGGTAAAGTTTATGTTTCTGTGCTACAATGGTCTTGATCAATTAAAAGATAATGCTACATTATCACAGTAAACTTTTGATGGTTAAGCCTGAAGATGAACAAAAATCCAACAAGAGAAGGCTCTAAAAGCTGAGCAAAGTACATCGCCAAGGAAAGGCTTCCAGCCCAGGGCTTCTGTTTCTGATCCCTGTATTGATGTTACTCCTTCTGCAAGGTCCAAAAACTGGGGGACAACTCCAGACTGGAAGACTCCAGTGTGCTCACACATTATTCAACCTGTGCTGCAGTTTGGGCTCCATGAAAAGACACAATTTAATAGTTTAGTTCATGGGACCTTCACATTTTTCACAGCAAAAGTATAGGTTCCTGTACAGTTATAACAGGCTTGTTTGTCCAGACTCTTCACATGAGCCCTATGAGAAAATCATTGAAGTTCCCACATATTCAAAGAGCAGAGGTTAAAAAAGTCCACATGTCTATAACTCTGGATTTGCAAAAAAAAAAAAAAAAATTACACTCAATGACTTTCAATTTCTACACTGCTTCACTATCATGGAAATTTTAATGATAGAAAATGGGATTGGTGACAACCCAATGATGTTCCCATTCACCCACATTAGAAAAAGATCTAAGATCTGGTATACAAAATATTTGAGCTACCCTTGACCTCTCTGAATTGGGAATAACTGAGGTGGAGAGTGGAACTCGTGATTAATATCTTTCCATTCTAAACTGAAAATGAAAAACCATACCCAGAACAGCCTGACCTTCCCTTGCACCATCACATCCCAGGACTCATTCATACATTCAGACTTTTTCTCAGAATCAAGAGCCAAAACGCTAGCTTGCATTACCAGGGTTAGAGCACGCATTATACATCCAAATCTCCAAACTTGCCTATTTTACGATACAATGTCTGTGGTTGCCAGGGCAGCACTGTTCGACAGCTTTCTGGTATTTGGTCGAGGTTGCCATCACAAATCTGTGCCTCTGGATAGAGGGTACACACAAAGTGTTTGTCTGCAGCATTTCGAAGATCTGCCATTCGACAAAACTCATCTTCTTGTGCACAACCTAGGAAGAAAATTCACTAAGAGTTACACAGACATGAGGGTTTCTTCCCCTCTCTATTCCTCTTCATGTCTTCAGTGCACTTAAAGCTATCCATCAGCAAACATTCTCAACTAAAAGTGAGAATTTCAATATTATCCTATTACAGTGCAAGTGAAATAGGGACAGATTCTGTTTCTAGTGACACTGAAGAGCGGGTTTACCTGGAGAGCACAGAAAAGGAGTTACACCACAGCTAATTGGAGAGATACATTCCCCAACTGTGACAAGCATTACCCTAGTGTATTGGTGTCACTTTAACATTGTGGTTCATAAAGATATCTCTCTCTCTTCCTTTTTAGTAAATTTGACATGCAAACTGTATAATCATAAAAGAACTCTGCATCAGTTGTGGGTCTCTAAAGAATAAAAAGGACAATTAAGTCTACAATGTCTTAGGAAATTTTTGCATCACACAAAAATATAAATAACTTTTCTAGATTCAACTGTTCAAGCCATTTGCTGTTAGCAATTTGCACTGAAATTTGGCCCAGGGTAATAATGCACCTTCAGAAAAGAAACAAAGCCATCAAAGCCATTTCTTAATTACTGTGGCAATGGCTTCTATAAAGATATATATACCTCAATGTTTCATTTTAAACAGGTATGACAGCTCTGCTGACCTCTTACAGTGATGTTTGTGCATGGTTTAGTACTCTTGGTTCAGCCTTCCTGGTAGTCAGAGCTAGGAACCCTCTTCCATTTTTTGCAGCGAAGTATACTTTATCATTAACCCCACATATTTGTATTTTACCTTCTCCTTTCACCACCATGTCATATATCTATTTGGAGGGGTACATTTCAAGAACAGCAGAGTATTGCCTAAGCTGTATCTTCTACTTCTTTTGCCCATAACAGAGATACCCTCATGATGAATGATGGATACCCTTTCTGTCACAGCAAAGATTGGAAGGAACAAACACGTGGCCCCATTAGCAACTTCCATGAAAATTTTGTGGGTTTTCCTTGAAAAAACCCTAAGACCAGAGTTTCTACACATCATGATTATAATACCTATTAAAAGATTTTAATTAATTATTATTCCCTACAGAATAATGGTCTCCAAGATGTCTTACGTGTCAGACACCAAAGCACAGCTTCCTCTGCTGAGTACTTCTGCCTGAAGATCCAATACTGCTGGTAAGGGAGAGAATAGTTCTGGTCACTTTGTATCTGGCTGTTGTCCATTAGGTAGAAAAGATCCTTTGTGGAATCTGAGATTCAAACAAACAAACAAACCCACAAAAAAATTAGCTATGATCTGGAATAAATTAAATTTATTTACGTATAAAATTCTGCCTTTCACAGTAAAACAGCTGCAACCATTTTGTAGGGCTAACATACATCAAAGGCTGCTTTTAATAACAGAATTGTCCACCCACAGTTAATTGTTGCTCATGTAAGGCAATGCCTCCTTGCCAGGCTGCACTGCACAACACTGCATTGTCAGTCTATGTCCACCACCCAAAAACTAGATGAAAATCACAGCTCCTAGAAATAAGAAGGTTCTCTCTACTCTGTCATGAAACACATCAGCCCAACAGTGAAGTATGATGCCTCAGAGGATGTTTACAATACCTTAATCAATCTAGCTTTATTAATCCAAAATACAGCATTTTCCTTATATTCCCTTGGGAAGCTTTTACACCTCTCAGTGTTAAAAGATCTCTTAACAAGCTTAATACCTATTTCAGTCATTTAACCTTATTTCTCGTAGTTTATGCTCCCACAGACCACATTAAAAGACTCCTTTCTGTCACCTGCCTGTGATCTTTAGATATGTATGCAATGCTTGATACCTCCTGAGCTCCCTCTGAAACAATCACAGCTATTTCAGGTTGTTTTCAAATTAATCACTGTAAATAAGGGCCCAAGTGAAATATTGAAAGAAATGGACATTTTTCACTGATCTCTTACAAATTTCCCCATAAACACTTTTTATTTGTCAAATGTCATCAGCAGGTCTCATCCCAGTTACTCCAACATGCTGAGAGATTCTGTTATTTAATCTTGCATGTACTGATACATCCAGACAAAAATGAAAATAGTAAAGTAAAGACATGCTGATGATTGCAGCTGAAATGCTGAAGCACTCACTGACATGCTGGGAATGCACAATAGCTTTGAATTTTCTATCAGAAAATACAAAAGATAAGTTACTATGTGCTGTAAGGATGATCACCAAGTAATAAAAGCTCTGTAGACATTTTCCCAGATGTATCCATAACTTTTTAAAAAGTTATTGTTACCTCTCAAGACTTCAACCTTCAGTTTCTCTTGAAACTTGTGTCATGACTAAGACTAAGGGATGGAGGAAGAAGCTGCATTCCTTGCATACCTTCAGGTTTTAATGATATCATCAGCCCAGCAAGGTAAATGGAGAACCCCAAGGGCTGCACTCATGCCTTGGCAGGTAAATGCAAGAGAATTTAACCCCGTGTATTAAGTGTATTTTTTTCTCATTTTTAAGTCTAGACTTTAAGATACAACTAATTGTATAGGAGTGCCACTAGCTAAATGGGCATTTTGGTTTACATTCCGTTCAAACTAGATAAACAAAATCAGCAATTCACTTCATGTTAGTAATTTACATATATTAAATCACATGCTCAGGTATTCATCAAGGGTCCTCAGCAAAGATTACAATTCATTAGAGATGAACCAAAGTGCTCTCAACAGGCTCCACTGCTCTCTTTCTTTTAGGTTTATGGTGCTGAAAGCCCAAAGGAAATCTAGTAACTTAATACAAATGATTTTGGATATATAAATGACTTAGTATAATGAAGAGCAGAGCCTGGCATAACAAAGGAGCTAGAGAACTTCACAGGTCCCTCACTTCCACCATGCATGGAAGAAACACTTGTGATTGCAGTTTCATCCTGAATTCCTCTAAGCATCATATTTACAGTCATATTGTCAGTAACAGTAAATATGCCCAGGCTAAGGATTTGATTCCTGGGTTTATGCAAAATTTTTTCTCAGCCACATAATATTTCCTGGGTCTTTACAGTTCAGCAAGTCTGAAATAACAAGCTTTCACAGAACATTTTAACCCTTTCACTTCCAGCCTGGTCTGGGAAGGTAAAAACCAGAAAGACAGGAGAGCCTTCCAGGAGGCTTGTATTTTTAATACCTTTCTCAAAACCTGTATTGTATTCCCTACCTGAGAGAAATCCTCTGGACTTCACACTGCCTACATCATTTCAATACATATATGGAAATATATATTTTCTGGTTAAACTCTGCATGTCCCTCTGCTAACTTTTGCTACCACCTCTGTCCACCCTTACTATAATACCTGATAACGTTAGATCACTCTCTGTCTTCAAAGCGGTAGCATTGCACTCTGAGGTTCTAGTCCGGGTGACCATATCGGAGCCTGGAATGCAACAGGAATTAAAGAGCATAGTAATTCCCTTTATCTTTCTTCCACAAGACAAGATCATCCTTAGTTCCCTAAATTTAGCAAATATTTTGAAGTGCAGTATTTAGGAAAACTCCTTAGATACTTCCACCAACTGATGAATCAAAAATGAGTAAAACCATCTGCTTATAACTCTGGGAAAAACCTAAACCAAAATGCGCTGTTTGGAGGATAAAAGCAAATGCCCTATCCACAATCACTATGAATTCAGCATCAGCACTCTGGAGTCTGTGTGCATTTATAAAGCAGTATCACAAATCATTTGTGCAGGTCCTGCTGTGTAAGTTGTGGCATTCAGAAAGTAAAATTGAAAAAAACCCACATACATAGTTATCATGCTAATAAAAGTAACCCATCTCGTTATGTATAATGAGCCAAGTTATTATGGTACCTGGACACTGATGGACAAAGGCAAGTGTCTCCACGATACCATTTTTCACAGGTATTAAAAGTTATAAAGCATATTCTCAGATACAAGAATTTACCCAAATTTCATGAAACTGACAGTAGCAGAATTACTCTGTATTACATCTGCCCCTGCCAGAAAAGACTTTCGAGTAGCGTCTCAATTTGGACAGTATAAAATAAAGTGAGAATGACACTTCCATTGTAGAACACACATCTGCCACTGCCTACAGTTCATCATAAGCTTTTATAACATTTGTGAGATAACTCACCTCTCCACAGATAAACTTGCTGAAAGGTAGTAAAATCTCTTTCTGCCTCTTCTGCCAACTTAGAAGCTAATAAAGAAAAAAGTTTGTTAGAATAGCTGCTGAAATTAAACAGGTAGTATTGAAATGCTCAGAAATTGCATTAAAAACACATCACTAAACTATACGTCACCTTATTTACAAGACAAGACCCTAAGGAAGGACTCAGGTGTCCTGGTGCTAGTCTGGGTCCAGGGTGCCAAAGCTTTATTCTATTTTCTATCACTGCTTTTTCTGTGCAGCTCTGGGCATCTCTCTTTTTGCATTTGCTCCAGAGATTACCTTTCTTTCAGATTATTGGCTTGAATCTGCCTAAATTAAATATTAGAAGTATTACCGGGTAACTTACTAAAACCAACACTTTCTTGACCTTCTTTAATGTTCACACAGAAAAGTCTGAGAGGTCCATCTATCTAACAATCCATCCAATCAGGGAGTTCTTATTCTCTTGTGATTGTACAGATAAGGATTTACTTGAGAAAAAAAAGCACTGAAGTACCAGAGCAAGCTGGTGAAAAAGGCAGTCTACAGAAGAATTAAGGTACTGTAAATTGAGATAATTCATTGACATACTTCCACCAAACATTTGTCCTCCCAGGGTGAAAGAAAACATCTTCTCTTTTTCATCATAGCTCACACCTTTACACAGCTCATCCATGACAGGTGCTGGTGTTGGACTCCAGCCATTTGCATCGCAGATCAGCACGTCTGGGTAGCTCATCAAACTACACAAAATGGTACCTAGGTTCAGGCAAAGAGAGAGTTGCATCACTCCAGTAATGCTTTGCACCTCTACGCAGGGCTTTTCACCTGAGCATCCCAATACTTTCTCTAAATGCCAATGGAACCTGTGTCACTGAGATAGATACCCTTTACTGCTACCCCAAAAAAAAACCCAAAAAGAAAATCAGAGCCATACGTTCAAATTGGAGTACTCAGGTTAGCTATTCATACCTAAAACAAACATTTACAGCCTGCCTTTCAGAGATTTAAAGCACACACTATTACCACCTAATAAAATATTACTATTATCTGATAATACCCAACACTGTTCTCAGCACTTTATAGCACCAGAGAGACATATTCAATCCTTTGGCGGTCTCACAGTCTCAGGCTCTGAACCAAGAAAGCACTTATGTTTTTACTGGGATGTTTTCCTGGATTGGTGCCTGATTTCAGTCAGCCCAGGCCTGAGTCTCCCCTAGCATCGCGGCGTGAGTCAGGGGGACCAGCACGCTTAAGGCCAGGTGTTCTGGCGTCAGTCTGTTACTAGACGCTATGTGTCTAGACAATACTCAGCTCTTGCTTTGTACTTGCTCTCACAGCTCAAGCATTTCTATGGTCTTACAGTGCCCTCTCTGACTTTTTTTTTTTTTTTCTCTCTTAATGGACTGGGTATACCAAAATATGATGGTAAATATAGAGAGAAATGGACTTTACAAGATCACCTAGAATATTTTGATGCAAAAAATACAAGATGTCAAAACGGAAAATAATTTCCTGGAAACATTTGGTTGACAATTTCCACAGAGAAAGTTTTCTTAAATCCAGGATCAGTTGCCACTCAAAACTAGAGAAGTGCTTGCCATATAGCAGCCAGTAGCACATGCCTGGATTTGTAAGAGCCCGTCTTTAAAAACTTGAGACATGTCAATCAGAACTTCACATTTCCTATAGGAAATGCACCTCCAACAGGAAAGTTGATCCCACATGAGCTCGAAAAGAAACTGCAAAAAGCAGGCACTGACATTAAGTTCTTGAATTTGCTGGCAGAAATCTGGGCTCTGCCTAGGTCCCACCTCTGCCAGACTCTGTCCATCTCACTCTCACTTGCTCTGCCAGCTAGACACCCAGACTTAGGACATTATAGCATTCCTGCATGTAATAACATAACATAATGCCCTGTTTAGCATCCTCTTTTCCTGCTTCAAGAAAGGAATTGATTTACATTTGCACTACAAGCACTATGGAGGCACCATCTTAATTTCCCCATCAGCTGAAAGGCACCAACTTGTGGCAACTGAGCTGTGTTACGTAAGGAGAGAGGCTGTTTCAAAATGATTTATCCCATCGATGCAGATGTCTAAAACAGGTCAAAAGAATTATCCTTTCAAAAAGTCCATTTCTGTCCAAGAGCAGCTTGGCACCTCAGGTCTTTATCTCTACTGCTCCAGGCCAGGTCTTGGGCATTACGCAAATTCCGCCTACACCAAAAAATGTCAGTGATGTAGAGGCAGGCTGCCTGACACTCTGGTATGACGTAGAAGCAGGTGTACTGTGTCCAAAAATGAGTTCTACCCAGTTAGTGTTGGTTTTCTACTGCAGAATTTTTTATTTTGCAGTTAGACAATACCTCCGTCAAGCGCAATCTGACTCAAGATGAAGCCGTCACAGCAGGAGTCCCTGCTGCAAGTCTGCCGACAGAAGAGCTGCGCATCTGTCAGAGATGCGCTCGCTGCTGAGAGCGCCACAGAGCGATACACGCCAGAAAGCACATTCTGAAAACTGGTCCTTTCAAAGGTCTTGAGTCCAGATGAGTTAAATGCTTGTCCTGGGTAGACAGAACAGGAAGGAAATGTTCAAAAGAGCTCAGGAGGAGATGGGATGCTTTTGGATTGCCTGCAGACTGGAGCTGGTTGAAAGTTTTATAATAACTCAGCCTTAAAAGTCCTTTTCTGGACTTTGAGTTTCAGATGAAAGATAAGATCATCAAATGGTTTGGTGCAATTATACCTGGGTAGTTGGTCACAATGTACTGCCATGGTAGGAGAAACAGTCCACTGTACCAGCAAAGGGTTCTTAAATCGATGTACGCAATAAGGTTGGTAATATTCCACTTTGAAGAGCTACATTAATAACTCCCAGGTACAAATGAAACAAACTTATGTCATTAAAAAAGTAAAATGTGTAATTTGGCCAGCACAACTGCATCTTCAATTAAGGCTTCTGCTGACTTGACATGTATGTAAGAGGCCATGATTCATATAATCCTCCATCTAATTAGCAATATCAGCAGAAATCTAGAGTAGATCTGGTATCCACAAGATTACATTGATTGCAACAAGCTCAGGGCACTTGTCTTTTTTCAGGTGAGATTTAGCTCTTTATTATTATTATTATTAATAAATGGTAACTCAGAGGTTTGTTTAGAAGTAAAAAGAAAACAGTGACAGCAGAGAGTTTTGACTCAAGCCCTGCAGCATTCTGCATTTGGTTGTCTTGTTCCAAATTTGGCATGAGGCTTCAAGTTGGACACACACTGGATGGGACGTGCAGTGGTATCAATCACACTTAGGCCAAAAAAAAGCGTCTTGTATATACATTAGATCAGTTGAATCACTTTAGGATTCACTGGAGAGCTGGGTATTTCTCAGCTGGTATATTAGTAGGACAATCTACAGTCAAATCTAACTTAAACTGCTAAATTATGTACAAGCTGATCATTAATAATGCCTTACATAGTCAAATAACAAACTGTTTAACGAAGAGAAATCATAGTACAAAAGAACAGACCAGAGCAGAATAGAGCATAATACATTGGATAAAATTTGAGCTTTTGTAGGACTATCTGCCATCACAATGGCTTACAAAAGCTGTATTCCTAATTTCTAGGGAACAAGACATGAAGGGAAGATTTGCTGAGGTTTCCGGGCTATCACTAAATATTAAGCTCTGAAACATATTATGCCTTCTTGAACAAAGATGGTCCTCCACATTTAGTCATAATCCTATACAAAACCACAAGTCTGGGCACAGTAGTCTAACATTAGATGAGTGATTTGCATCTGGTACCTCTCTTCAAATAGACCATCACTGCATCTCCCTCTGGATTCCTGACATGAAGCAGGCAGCTGAGTCGACTGACGCTAGTGGCAGCGGGGTTCCCCAAAACACCTTGCACCTGAGACAGAAAGCAGGCATGCACAATAAATACAACCTAATTGTTTTCCTCTCCTAAACCCCCTTTTCCTTACTCAGAAACTCAGGGGGAGGAATTAGCGCACACGGTTTTGTCGTGGTTTAGCCCCAGCCAGCAACTAAGCACCACGCAGCCGCTCGCTCACTCCCCCTGCCCCGATGGGATGGGGGAGGAGATAGGAGGAGTAAGAGTGAGAAACACTCCTGGGTTAGTGAGAAACACTCCTGGGTTGAGATAAGAACAGTTTAATAATTGAAATAAAGTAAAATAGTAATGATAATAGTAACAATATAATAATGATAATAACAATAATAATGATATACAAAGCAAGTGATGCACAATGCAATTGCTCACCACCCGCCGACCAATACCCAGACAGTTCCCGAGCAGCGATCGCTGCTCCCCAGCCAACCCCTCCCCAGTTTCTATACTGAGCATGACGTCACATGGTATGGAATAGCCCTTTGGTCAGTTTGGGTCAGCTGTCCTGGCTGTGCCCCCTCCCAGCTTCTTGTGCGCCTGGCAGAGCATGGGAAGCTGAAAAGTCCTTGACTAGCATAAGCAGTACTCAGCAACAACTGAAACATCAGCGTGTTATCAACATTCTTCTCATCCTAAATCCAAAACACAGCACTATGCCTGCTGCTAGGAAGAAAATTAACTCTATCCCAGCCGAAACCAGCACAGCTTTATAACCACTGCAGCTCCATGTGGCCCAGTGTGGACATTTTTTATTCTATCAGACTGAGATCTCGACTCCAGTGCCACTTTGCTGTGTTTAAAAGTAGCGAATAGGAAGCTGTTACAGTGCTAAAGTGCACACAATTCAAACCCTGGCCCAGAGGAAGGGACTGAGAAATGATGACTGTTTCATGTGACCTGATTATGGACCTGGATACTTCCAGTTTGGACTATCCAGATGAGCCCCCTTGTTCAAGTTATCCCACTTTCCAGACTGCAGGAGCTCAGCATGTTTTAGGAACAAAAGTGCTGCGTGACATTTCAACCAAACACTAAGGCATTCAGAAGTCAGTTTTGGGAACATTTGGGTGCAGCTTCTTTATCAAACTGCAGGAACTTACTACTTCCGTAGTGAAGAGCGATGACCAAGGAGTCAGGTAACAGCCTGCCTGCCTTATGTGATGCCTTCTACTTATATTAAACCTACAGTATTACGATAAACGCATATTCTTAAATATGATCATTTTTACCAATCCAGAGGTGGTGCAGTTGAAATTAACTTCGGCAGCACTGTATAATTCACACAGAACTTCAGCACCAGCAGGAGTTACAGTGGCAAAACCGCATGCTTCTTCCTTCTCACAGCCTGAACAACAGAAAAGAAACCTGAGGTTTCCCAGCATTTCATGTGCAAAATTCCACTGTTTACTGCCATTTACCTAGTTTTTCATACCTCTATCAGACTGCAAACTCATGAATTTCATTAGCCAGATGAAGTTTACCATTCAACTATTTTAGCAGAGGGTTAGGTTTTTAAATTAACTTAAACTAACGTAAAAAGCTGTTTGGACATTCATCACCTGATGATACAAACAGCTGAGTTAGGTCTAACCAGCCAGCCAAATATTTAATGATTTCTGGATAATTATGCCTGAGGCAAAATTTCACTTGTTCTAGGAGCTGTGGGAGCCAGTCAGTGGTGAGTGTGCAAGGGCAGAAGGATTTTCATCTGCTCCTAAATCTGGAGGGGGATGGCTGCTTGCTCACTTACACTGGCCAGGCAATTGCTGCAGAGGCAGCTGGTATGATTGAAAAATTTGATGTTTCCCTCCTTCCTATCCCTCCAGTGTTTGTCACATCCTGTTTGCCATGGGGTTACTGTGTCAGGCGGATGTGAATCCCTAAGTTCATTCCCATGGTCCTCTCAGGTCAGTGCCTTGCTTTTGAAGGTCTCCAGTTTCGGGGCAAGGTGCAAGAAACCTTGCAGTGTACAGCTAGGGGATGATCTAGTGCAGGAAAATCATTCTAGTAATACATATAAGGCTTAATCTCTTAGCATGAGATGACTGTTCCAGCTAGACCAGGGTATGTGACACAAAGTCACTGACTTTGTCAGACTTCAGTGATGTCTACCCTGCAAACAGGCCACCTGTGTTATTGCTGCCAGGGTGTTTTTATTTTGAATGTAACCCCTCTGCCTCCCTTCACAAGTCTGAGCATTAGGAGACACAAGGCAAGGCATTGATCCAAAGCACCCTGAAAGCAGTGCAATGATTCCCCTTGGTTTTAGATGACTTTGAATCAGCAAACATGGTGTATCCAGATGTAATATAGTATATACACTGTAAGGCTCAGCAGAGGAATGTCTCTGCACTCCTTGTAATATCTTTCTGATGTAAGCAAGGATAATTATTCCTCTTTTATGTGCCAATCAGGTAATTTGGGAAAAGGTGAAAGCTTGGTTTTCACATGTCCTGAACACCTAATCCTTCTTTTGTCTGCACATCTGAAAAGTCTGATGAATGCTTCTTGGTCTGAATCTCAGCTCTCATCCATATTGCAAACTATACTAACTGGCTTTAAAGTCAGATAACTTGTCTAATGTGGTACATAAAGTCAGAAGTCTTCTTTCTGAAAGAAAGACCAACCTCTTCCTGGAACCAAGGTCACCAAAAGTTGTAAATATCTTGCAGCTGAACTGCAAAACATAGCTCACTGAGGAACTTAACTATAAGCTCATCATATGAAAAGATTATTTTCCATGATGATTACTGTTGTCTCTACAGATTTTCTGAGACCTTTCCTCACCTGAAATGCACTGAAAAGCTGGACTTTGCAGATCTCCCCCAAATGACTGAGACTGAAGAATTTGAGCTTCTTCTGACCCATAAATCAGTCTGGAGGCAGGAGCGCTCTCAAATTTTTTGAGCACTAAAAAAAAAAAATCAAACCATCCAGGTACTATTATCAGCTCCCATGCTGCAGAGAGACAGATACTTTAGGTAGAAATAAAAATCCATGAATTCTGCAGAGAAAAAGGTTTGCTCATTAAATGATGTACTGTAACTCCACACATAACACAGGCGACAGCTGGACTGAGGATATAATTTCTATTCTGAAAAAATAAAAAAGTCACAAGATCTTTTACAAACAGTTAGCCAGGAGTGGGCTGAGAGTTTATATTCAAGTGAGACTTCTCTTCCAGCAGCAGACTGGCCATCTCCCATTACTTGTTCATGGCGCAAAACCAACTATTGAGTCAATGGGGGATCCAAGTTCCTGAAAAACAGCCACTGAAACAAGAGCCAGCTCCAACAGAACTTGGCTAAAAAGGAAATCTAGGAGACCTATTACTTGTGTATAGAAGCACACCACCACTGATCTCCACTGACTTCAGGCTCAGGGATCTATCTAAGGTATGTCCTGCATGCTACCTTTTGACTCCTTCATTCAACCTTTAACTCCAGGCTGTCACTTTGCTTACCAAACCCTTTTATCTGCTCCCTCTGAATTGGGCACGCTACACCTGAGTGTAAGGAAGTGCAACAAGCAGCAAGGGTCACAAACTGGGAAAAGCTCACACGGTCTAGAGATGTGAATCCCAGAGGTCACTAAATGGGACAAGGAATCCAATTTAAGCTCCAGAAGGTTTGGCCCTGGCTGTGCCCTGAAGAAGATTATAGTCTAGTGAAGGGACACACAGCAGCACCACCACTACCCTGCTCAGGTTGCCACTATCTGAATTACAAAGGTTTTTTGGTACAGTGCGTCCACCAGGTGATATATCTTTCAGTGAACACAGCATATTAAGGAGAAGGGAAGAACGTGGTGACCTGGCATCACCCTTGTGTTGACCGGACTTGTCCTCTAAATGCCCCAAATGAATGCAAAACTCTGGCTCATTGCAGCCAGTGCCTGGCCTAGACCTAGAAGTGCAAAGCAGCAGGAGCCCTGGTCTGGTGTCAGCCCATGGGAGATGTCTGCACGTGGAAGAGCAGGAGGCTCAGCCTTTCTCTCCCCTGCACACGTGGGCACAGAGGTCCAGCAGGAGGATCCCAGGCCTCTCTCCCTGAAACGTCTAGATAAACCACAAAATAGAAGTCAGGGATAAGTTCTTAAAACAATCATTTGCGCTCTTGCAGCAAAACAGTCAGGACTAGATCAGAAGCAAATGTCTTCTGTTGTCAGGGCTGAGTCAGCAGGTGCTTTTGATAAAACTGTCATTTCTGCTCAGAAAATACATGAAGGCTAGCCAAACACTTAACACAAAAAAAATCATTGCACTCCAGCTAGGCTGGGGAGAGGGCTGAATAATGGCATAAACAGAGGTGGAAGTTTTTTCCTTCCTAGAAATACAGGACACCAAAATACAACCATTAGCTTAATTCTGCACTAAAGTGAATTCCTTCTACATCTGCAACTTGCAGTGATGTCTGGTTAAAAACAGAATTAACATATTTTCATAAAGCTGAAAAGAAGCAGTGTTTTTATGTTGTTTGCAATTTTTTGCTGCCCTCATTTCTCACGCAAAATTCAAAATACAAAAATGACATTTTAAAATGTTTTTCTTTACTTCTGATATTTTTTTCCTGATTCTGGCTTCGTCTGACCTCTCCTTTTTCTCTGCAATAATATGGGTGAAAAGTAGAGAAAAGATAGAAAGTGTAACAAAACATTAAACTGAAAACATTGCAAAACTAACAGAAAGCTGCCTTTTTTAATTCTTGAGTTTTGTTTTTGAATATAAAGAAAGGTAAAAAAATTGAATTCATAAAGCTACTTTGTCAAAAAAAATGACAATGAAAAATATTGCTCACATTTTCAAGAACTTGTTCATTCATATTGCTCTTTTCTCAACATTAATATAACTACTCAACCATTTCATAGGCTTAGTCTGTAGCAGAAATTCTCCTTCATCTCATGTTACTAGAGAGCAAAGCTCTAGATGCCATCCCTGTTATTGCAATAAATGTTAAGCATGGCTTAAAATATAACAAGAGAAAGAACAATAATAAAGAGCATGGGTTGTTACAGCTTATTACTGTGCATTCATGAAAGGAAATTCTTCCTCCCACTGAAGCCTCAAAAAACAAAGAACAGTTGGTTTATTTATTGACCCTGCCCAACAGACAGCCTCCTGTCAAAGTAAGATCAGTCTTCAGACCCTGCTGTCTTGTTGCATGCTGAATTCAGTTAAGGGAAGTAGAAGGGCAGGGGAAAAAGTAAAAATAGAGATAATCAGTTTCACTTTATATAATGCTTTACTGGAAATGCAGCATGATCTGTAAAAGAAAAAAATTAAATTAAATTAGCCTGTAAATTATTAAAAAAAAAAAAAAAACAAAACCAGACTTCTTGGGTGTTCCTTGTTGTTTTTTTAAACCTTAAATTGTCAACACTTACAGCTATTTATTTGTAGTGAGATCTTCTAGCATGGTCCACAAAAACATGCACAGATATCTACAACTGCTTCGTCCTGGACAGAGTCAGAAATGCTCATGCAGGAGAGCTCGAGGTAAGTAAGTAACAGGACAATTAAGCTGCTGTGAGTCCTCTGCCCAGAGAAACATCCCAGTTACCCTATGACTGAGAGCAACAGAGGCTAACACCTCATGTTCATAACTACAATCAGTCTCTGAGTATGCTCAGAGAAAAAAATAGCTATTTGAACTGAAGATATTTTTGAAACCTCTTCACAACTGAGGGCTTTAATTGCACACTCCTTCCAATGGTCACACTTGTCATAAGACATTGTCTAATTCAGAGCACACCATGACGCCAGTTTCTAAACTGAATATTCCATTAAATTTGATACCAATCATATAATGAGTAACAAAAACTTCTGGAAAACTATTTTTGGGCAAGGTAAAAGCTTTGGGGCTGAGAAGCATAATTAGACCTTACTGCATGCAGTTTGGGGAGTGTTTGATGAATGATTTTTTTTTCAAATTATTCATCCTTGAGAACTGGCATTTCACAACTGTGTTCAAGCAGGAGTAAGTTCCTCCAGCTTGCAAGGATATGTTCACCAAGTCAGATCTGTACAGCAGGAGCCCGCAGGGTGACGTTATGCTGTGGCTGTGAGGTCACTGACAAACACAGTCTGTTTCACATGAACACACTGATGAGTGATAATTTGACACAGAAATCATCATTCTGCTTCTTTCCCATTAGCCCTCTCGTTATTCTTTTGGGTTTCCAAGCAGAGAGCAGGAGATCAGCATACATCAAAAGCTGTCAGCCATCTGAGAGTGCAAGAAACCTGCCTCTCCCTCTTTCCTCACAGGAAATGACTTTTCCAAGGTAGTCAAGAAATGCAAAATTAAGGAGGAATGGGGCTTAAGGCAGAGGCCACAACTATGGGAAAGTGAATCCCCACAAGCTGTGGAGTGATGAGTCTCTTCATAAGGAGGTTTCACTTATGTGGAGTCAAAACATACCCAAAATATTCTTCTGACACTTACCTAGGCACTGGTAGTCTGTAAGGAGATCATCTGTTTCAGTCCAGTCCAGCGCTGCTCCAAAGCTATCGACGCAGAAGGATTTCTTAGTGTCAGGGTCCTGCTGGGAAGGTCTAAACTGGCCATCTTCATCACACTGCAGACCCTGCTCATTGCTTTGACAGTACGTGATACCTGTTACAAGCAAACAAGAAAAGAAGAAAAGGTACTTTGACAACGTACCTCGGTTTCACTGGGTTTCACAGAATGGTTCTGGTTGGAAGGAGCCTGTGGAGCTCATCTGGTCCAACCCCCCTGCTCCAGCAGGGCCACCTAGAGCCAGTTACCCAGGACCCAGTCCAGATGGCTTTGGAACATCTCCAAGGTTGGAGACTCCACAACCTCCCTGGGAAACCTGTGCCAGCGCTCAGTCACCCTCACAGAAAAAAAAAGTGTTTCCTGATGTTCAGAGGGAACCTCCTGTCTTTCAGTTTGTGCCCATTACATCTGGTCCTGTCAATGCAGTAGGACAATGTTTCGATGCTGTAGGACAAAAGTGCTCTAAGTACAGCAGAGACGTCTCTGAAAATTAATCTATAGTTTGCATTGTGTTTCATGTTCTGACACATGGTAGTCTCACTGCTTTGTTGTTACTGCAATTCATATTCCAAACATTTTTAGGATTCTCTGCCATGGATCAGATCTCATTTGTGCTAAGTACTGTAAAACAAAGAAGCACAGAGAAGGAACTGTATTTTCCTACAGGTTTGTTCAGTGCCTACTGCAATGGACCCATGAAATGTTATGAACCACGGCAAAAGAGCCAACACATCGATTTGTTATTTGTCTCCCACATCCCCGCCTTTTTTTTAAATTCTGCCTTTCAGTAGGAAGGAAAAAGTCTTAGCACTCTATTCTTAAAGAACTGAGAGCTTTGATTTTAATTAGCAGCATTTTCTCCAACTACTTAACATTTTTAATGATTTAGAAATCTTTAGAGACCAGGCATCTGGGCTCCACAGAGAAAGAAATCTGGAAATTTGACCAACATTTAAGGCAGCAGCAGAGAATCCCAGGTGGACTAAGCCTGACAGGTTAACCACCTTGATCCCCTCCTGAGATGCTACTGAAGCAAGTGAGGCTTATCTATGTACGAAGAAATCACCAGAGTTTGGTCTGACATATCAAAATGTGGCAACATCAGCATTGTTTCAATTCAGAGCACCAGGCTAGGAGCTAAACTACCTTAGGAAATGCTTCTCTTGCCTTTCAGCCATCCTTGCAATAGAGGCACAACCTCTGGGAGGAAAACAAGGTAAGCAGCATAGAGGAGAACACTTCAGGTGTCCAATTTTCCTGTGCTGTGTTTGTGAGTCAATACTTTCCTTTTTTTAACTGGCAGTTAATTCAGCAAACTCCTCAGACTTTATAAGGAGACACGAAAGACAGAAAGACAGAAAGAGAGAAAGACAGACAGAAAAAAGACAGAAAGAAAGACAGAAAGACAGAAAGCAAGCTAAATGTGTAGACATGGCCCTCTGGAAAGGGCTGGCACTCAGACTCAGCACACAGGCAAGATGGAAACCAGGCAGGGAGTAGGTTTTGTTGCAGGCACTTGCAATAAAGAAAACCGCAAGTGCAGTAAAGAAAACCTAAGGAGCAAACTTTTAAGCACAGGACTGCAATACCTACACCAGGAACACATATGGAAACAAAGAACGACAACTTTAGGCAAAAGCTAATTGATGTCAGGGTGCATTACAATAAACCGGGTTTTTTATCCCACCTAAGAGAATAAATAGGTTGAAACAGAACAAAGCAGTTGCTATACCACTGATATTCCCAAGAAACCCATTCTTACTACCCACTTTTATTTTTATCCATGAGCTAATGCTGCAGACAGAACTGAATTTGGACTTAAGTGATTTTCTGTATGGAACTGCATACAAAAATAAATCACTTAGACTGAATACACCAGCTTTAGTGAACATGTTGATAATTGTTTTTTGAGAAATATTGTATTTGCAGGGGAAAGAGCTGCACAAAGACAAGACTACTTTAGTGTTCATGAAAGTGACAATAAATGAAATACATAAGATGTTTCTCGCTGACACTGAATATCCAAGATATCATTCCTGAGGCTAGTGAACATGTCTCAAGGAACCACAACATCCTGGATGAGACTGACCACTTGTTTCTCATGCATTTTTTGTCAAAATGCTAGACAGCTTTTTCTGTCTTTGAAAAACATCTTTGGATGTATGCAGAAGAGATCATACCCATCCAAAAAACCCCAGACGGAGGATTTTGTTTTGTTTTGTTTTAACTTACAGATGAAAAAAAAATTCCATTAGTTATCTGAAGCCAGAATACAAAGGGTAAGGGAAGAAATGAGTTCAACTTACAGTGATCAGCGCTGAATGCCCCATAGGAGTTGGTAGTTTTGCCCACAGGACACTTGATACAAAAGGAACGTCCTGTCTGATGCTGATAGTAGCCAAAAGGGCAGGGAATGCATTCATTGTTCTGGAAATGACTGCCTGGAGGACAAACAACTGCAAAGAGAACAACCACCTTATTACCCTTATGGAATCCAACCGGTTCAGGCATTCACACAAATATGTGTAGGTATATATGTGTATGCGTATATATATGTATATATCTCACACTGGTAAACTTGCCATAGGCTTCATTCTCTCAGTATAGATATTTTTAAGTGGGATAATACAGGAAAATGCTCCTTAAATGTTCATTAATCTCACCAGTGACTGGAATATAGACCATGGTCTTTTTTTCTCAGATCACCATAAAAATGTTCTTGAATTAGTGCACATCAAGATATTTGGACATGCCAAGTCCAGGCCTGATTTCCATTTGTCAAATCCATTTGTAATAATATAATGCACTCTGTGGATAGATTGTAAAAGAAAACAAAGGAACACAAGGCACAAACAGAGTAACTTCTACAAACACTACAGACAGAAACAGGAAGACTCCTTGGAGAAGAAACTCCAAAAACATCATCCAGGAACTCATCATATGGTAACACTTTCACTCAGAATTCCTGGTAATGAAATTTTTGGTAAGCGCTTCCAAACTAAACAGTAATGGCTGGATTAAAAGTCACTAGTTGTGCACATGACAACCCAAACACAAAACAAAGAGATATTCTTAGTCTGTATATATATCATTTTCAGAACAAATAAGGAGTAATATTTCCAGCTGACCTCTTGCATATTACAAAGAAAACTCTTTGTCTTCTGGGAGGCCATGAAATACTGTCTTTCCCTCCAGATCATTTGAATGAACATTAAAGCAGAAGAGTCGCAGACACATTTGCAGGACAATACCTTTACTTGTTATTTCACAGCTGCTTTCCAGATGTAGCTTTCCTTCAAAACACTGTCAAATGTATATTTTGGGACTTTGACAATGTGCAAACTTCATTTCTGTTTTTGCCCTATGTCTTGACAGCAGTTTAAGCTTGTACGAGAGAGAAACAGTAATGGAAAACTGGCCATCCCCACTACAAACCATATGATGAATTGCTGTTCTGGCCAACACACTAGAATGTAAATTAATTTAACTTGTAGGAGCATCTAAATTAGAATAGACTAAAAAGACAGCTAGTATAAAAACGATCATATCTTCCTTCATCTGCTCTAAATGGTCCAATGGAAAAATCTAGGCCGAGACAACTGTGAGACGGAATTTTCCTCCCAAGTACGTATCAAGGCAATTGCTTTAGGTATAACACAGATCTAAAATCAATTACAGAACGAAAAAATCCTGGATCAGACGGAATTCTCCTTTCTCATGCATATCATTTAATACACAAGAGTGTCTAATACATTTTAAAGACATTTTCCAACACGTGCAGAAAGGATCATTCTCATTGCAAACGAACAACAGTAGAAATTAAAATGAAATGAGTAATCCATGCCTAAATTGAAGACAAAATGCAAAGGATGAGGAAGACTAATTAAACAACTGAAGTTTAAAAAGAAACAAATTAAGCTTTTCAAAGCATCCTCCTTTTTTTGTAGTTATAGTCATGATGTGAAAGTAACATCTGTGTCTCCAAGCATGTTTTAAGTAAAATTACCTTTTGCCTCAAACATTAGATTAACAAAAAGGCACAAAGAACAGCAAAAAAGGTTGGTGTAGACATATGTTTTCTAGACTATGACTCTTGAAGGCATGTGTCATTTCAGCTATAGGTTATACTTGACACATTCACATAGAGGTTACGTTTGATTGTAGAAGTCAGACAAGCCATCATATCGTTACTTCTTTCAAGCTTTAACATTCATATGTTTTAACAATGTAGGAAACTAGAGAACAGCCTTGAGCCAATATCTCAGAGCTAAGTGTTAGCACTGGGCCCAAAATTTGTATCCCTAGAATAGGAAAAAATAAATAAAATAATAAAATAAAATTTAAATTTAAACACCCAAATTGAATCCCTTGCTCCTGCACATCAGATTTGTAACCTGGTCTTGCTTCTAACCAGACCTGGGCTTCTGTGTACCAGGGAAACAACATGTTGAGTAGCAATTTCCTTTCCAGGCTAAAGAACAACTCACTGGGGAAACACAAAGCTACTCTGTGCAGGGGTACCACTCCTCACAGTAGCCTCCTTTTACTTAAGACCAGCTCTCACTACACTAAGCATGCTTTAAGATTGTCACAACTGATCATTACCCAATGCTTGCACCGCTCTTTGCTCCCTCCAGGGATAGTGGAAAACTTTGGGATATCAGATTCTTGATCCAGATTATTACAAATGAAGTCTTGAGCTGCCAACTCAGCTATAAATCTAGCACTTTATTTGATTTGGGTTATGCTCTGCTCAAAGCAACTCTGATAGGCTTGCCAAGAATTGTGAATAATTAAAGGAACCAGAATAAAACCATGTAATAAATGAAGACAACTCACAAACAGGCTTCAGGCTTTCTCCTGAAATAAATGGGAGGAGAGGGGTTGAGTTCATAAAGCTGCCTCCTGGACAGTTTCCAACTCTTCTTTTTGATTCACATCTTAGAAAAGAAAGTGTCTTTTGTCCCTTTAAAATTTAGCTAAAATGAAACTGTTACCTCAGACTCTTAAGGAATTATATTCATAAATACCTGCGGGGTAAAGTAACTCAGTGTAAGACTGAGACACAGAAAAAATGTCACAGAAGAAAAACTAGCACATTATAAATGTTACCCACTTCACAGGCAGCAAAACATGAAACAAAGCTACAATAGAGGCAAACCTAAAGAAACAGATGACTGTAAGAAAATACATTAGAGAAGAAGAGGTAGGTTCAAGCAAGCTGCATGTTCCTAAATGAAATATCTTAGGTTTATTAAGAACACCAGAAAGCTGCCGCTACTAAGAGGTGTCCATGCTTCCTGAAGCAAGGGGACATGCCGCTTACAGTGAAATAAAAACAAACAAATCAATAAAATAAGGATCTGAAGAGACAATTTGTATTTCAACAAGATGAACAGGAAAGGGAAGAGAATAAAGAAAGAATCTCTGTCACGCTCAGAAACTGATTTCTGTGATAACTTCTTATTACTAGTCCCTGTTATTAGTAGAAAAACAGACCTGGAAGGATAAATGACCAGAATATGTCCATAATGCAAAATAAAACTAAATATATATCTATCTTAGAGGAACCAGAATCTGAATTCCTAAATCTCCTGTTTAGAACAAAATACACAGTCCTACATAAACCAGTGTCCAGCAGCATGTCTACCATGGCATCTTAGAATATAAAATCTCTGCCAAAAGCTGGAGCAGAAACTGTCTCCTTTCTGCATCTCTATGATAAGTCTGTTTTACTGAGTGCCTTTTTCTACAGCTAGCTGGTTCAAATATGTAGGAACTGACTTACAGAGCAAATTCTTTCACTGCTTCCTAGAGGCCTTTATCCCTGGCAGGATATATCTGGCAGAAAGATCCAATCCTTTGTATGCTCTTCTGCTCCAAGTGATGGACTCTACTTAATAAATAATGATACCTTTAATCAGTACAAGAGTATATCTTGTTAAGTAACTGCAAGTTGTTACAGACTCCAGATTCTCAGTAGGAATTAATCTTCTTGTGCATGGTGTATTTGAATAACTAAAATCTGAAGTGTTTCAGACTGTGGCAATGAACTGAAACTGCAGTTAATTTACCCTTAAAGATCCAAGCTGGAAACTGCAGCACTTCAGAACCGATTCATCACTTCATTACTTTGGAGCTCTTGCCCAGGCATTAGGAAGCTCTCCTGACTTAAAGAGAATCACCATACCAAGCAGGGAGCTAAAGTTTTTTTATGTATTTTGATTTGCTCTTAGGGTCTCTAACTTAACCTGCATAGTGTTAAAGTTTTCCCACCTGAAAATACTGCCCATTTTGGGGAACTTATCCAATACTTGCTACTGTTGATCTTATACCCAGAAGTGGTCAATCCCTCCTCTGTTCCCAAAAACAGGCCAGAGGTAGTAAATACATCCCAAACTGATATAAGACACAGACTCCCTGAGCTAACTGGGCCAACAAGAACGATGAGGGTTGCACCGTAGGACTGATGTTGATAGAAACAAGAGCGGGGCTGTTAAGGCAAAGGCTCTTTGGCAACGCGGCCTGGTACGCAGGAGTGCTAGGCACAGCAGTGGGGATCTATCGACAAGGTAGGTTTGGCAGCCCGAAGCAGGGTGTTGGCAGAAAGGCAGCTTGTTCCAGGGAAGCAGACTAAACAGAAGGAAAGAAGATGAAAAGAGGGCAGAAGTTCAATCAGGTCTGGGTGTTGGCCAGCACCGAGAAAGCTTCCACCTGAGCTGGCTGGACTTGGCCCAGGAATTCAGGGTCTCAGGACTTTGCCATTTCTGCATCTAGGTTTCTATTCTGGGTAATATGTCATCATCTGAAGCTCTGGCTCCATTATCTTTGTGAACTCTTCTCAGTAAGGATCACGTACATTACAGAAAGTCTTTCTAATACCAGATAGATCTAAAAAATCCCCAAAAATATTTGCAAAACCTTCTGTACTATGTCAGTGTCATGATGCCTATTTCCAAATCACTAGTTCAACGCAAGGACTGAACAGTCAACAAAACACTAATTCCCTTCTCTCCTCAGATTTGTCATTCGTGTTGGTGCTTCACGCCTTTCACATATTAACCATAAACACAAGTTCACTGACGATTTTCTAACTGTAGCTTTATACTGATTCCTAACAGCATCAAAGAAGGGAAAGCTAAACTGAGACATACCACATCCTTGTGAATTTGGGACTGCTTTCCCAGGAGACGAAATTCTTCGAAACCCGCTTACACATCCTAGCTGCACACTCGGAGACAGATCAAACTCTTCATCCCGGGGAAAGTCAATGAAAGAATCTCCTAGGAATTGCTTGGAGTCTAAATGCAGCAGAAAACCACCATCCTTAATCTCTTTTATAAATGCTCCAATGAGATTTTCTCCAACAATTGCATTTTCTAAAAGGGGAAAAAATACAACAAAAATAGCATGAAAGAGACTCCCAATATGGGAATGGATAACCACACAGAAACTGTGAACTTTAAGTTAAAAACATAGGCAGATACAGAAACACAAGCATGTTAGCAAACAGCAGACAAGAACGAATCTGTACAGTGTCTATCAGATTAAAGTCCTAATATCAGTATACGTAGAGAGTGTTAAAGAAACAGCAAAAAAAAAAACCAACAAAAAATGGCATATTCAAAAACTAGAGCATCAGAGAACAAAATTTGATTTCTGAGTTACAAAAATTCAGTAGATGTAAACAAGGATTATCAGACATTCAGATTTAATTTATTCCTGTTTTTTCAATGGGTATCATTTGCTTCTTTTTCAGTATTTTGTTGATTTTTTTTTTTTGAAGGCCAGCATCTGTAACAATATAGTAAACACCTTCCATCACACTACTGATATCCAACATATCCACCTATGCAACAAACATGCTCTTCATAATTGCTGAAGCAGGTGTCGAAAGCTGGAAAACAGTGAGTACGTTTCCTACTATCTACATTCTTAGTTGCCCAGACAGCTTCCCTTTCAATGACTTGTGCAAGGACAATTTTCAGTGCTAGATCAAGAGCGAATTCCCCAGTTTTGCTGGATCAGAAGTACTACAAGAAAAACATTCCGAGAGGATTTTGTTTGCTATCACATTTTGTTTATCCCTTGCAGGCTTTATGGCATTGAATGAAATGTTGATGTGTTTCACTGCTTCAAATTTGCAAGACAAGGGCCTCCTGTAGCTAGCTACAGGTGATGGGCAGCCCAGTAACCCAGCAAACGGGAAATTCTACACACTATATACTTTGAGTTTTGCGAGTACACCAACAACCTTGGATGTTGAATTTTCACAGGGAGGATGTTATAAACATAAAGAGAGCATGAGGAATGGTACAGCTCACATGCTGTGCAGATTACTATTTTGTGACTGATGCGCCCAAGACAAATAGCTGAGGGTACTGCTGCCTTCTCACATGGTGAGTTTCCTAACACTGGACTCTAGCCCAGGGATGGCTTTTCAGTTGTGCAAGGAGAGAACGTCACAGCCAGGTACGAGGCTCTGGCAACGCAGCACTGCCCTCCTGCCCATGCTGAACGGACCGCAGATGTACGATGCTTTTTCTGAAAGATCATCCTGGATCATACTGAAAGCATAGGTGCCCTCTCTTCCCAAATGTTGGTCCGTAGCTGACTGCTGTTGTGTAGATGTTGTTTCCCCCTTTGCAGAGGAGGGACATGAGGTTTCTACACTTATGGGCTAAAATGAACGGATCTTGCATTAAAGCTGACAGCTGTGTCCTCATATTCTCAATGCTCTGTTTCCTCCATCTTGGAGCAACCTATCCTTCTGCTGCACTGACGCATACTATAATGAACAAAATAGCACTTAGTTTTGTTCAACCCCAGGACAAAATGATACTTAGCTTGTGAGGAAGTAATTAGAGATCACCACATAACCAACAACACTTTGCAAATGTTTTGCCAGAAATTGTCTCATAATTGAAAGCAGGAATAAGATTAGCCTTTTATTCAAGCAAATATCCTTCCAAATTTTCTAGTGACTAGCTGTAACAGAATTAAAAATAACCTTGAAATGACAGTTGGAGGGAATTCACATGTAGAAAAGAAGCAAACAGTCAAACCAGTAGGAATCCACTTAGGTCTGTTGAATTTCCTTTAGTCTGAAATGTTCCCCTGTGTTGAAAAGTTCTGAACACTACTGCTAAATGTGACCCTCCTATGACCATACTATGTATCCATGCATATATAGTATCCTTTGTATTCCGAGTATATAAACAAGTGTTTACCTGTAGTATACATGTTCATGCGCTGCAAATAGACAGGTACATCCTGTAACATCTCAACAGAGAACAATTCAGTGCCTGCCAGACATGCCAGCCACAGACTCGCTGCTAATGTCTTACATGAGCTGCCTTGGTTCAGCCCTTCCAGCACGGCTGGACAGCTTGGGGCCACACTTCCCTGCTGGTCCAAGATGAGCTTCCCAGGCAGGACCTTCAGCATGCTCTAAACTATGGCAGATACAATAGTGCTTCCCTGGTTTTACTCCTGTTTTGCTGCACAATTTTGACAATTCAAGCTATTACGCATCTTGCACTTTGTTAAATTTACTGGAAGTTCTTACTAAGCATTTCTCCAGAACCTGGCATACCTTTAGGGACCTGGACTTCTGGGGGGACAATACATCTTTTCACATACAGAAATAGCCTGCAAATAGTTGCATCCTGTGTTGTGCAGTGGGAAGAAGACTGGTTTAGGGTTTGCTCCTGTTGAATGAAACACTAACTTTAATGTGAGAGGAATCATACCGTTACTCAGAGTTTGTACTGGCCAATGAGAAAGTGAGAGAAAAGAGAAAGCAAAAAAGTAGATTTGTTCTTTTTTTTTTTTTTTTCTTTAAGGAAAACATAGAGCACAGAGGCACAGATTAAAATATCAGTTGTATAGAGCAGGGATTGATTTCCTCCAGTCTCACTGATGGGAACAGTTTACTGTATGTTCATCGCCCAAAAGTTCATTTTTATAATCATTAGTATTTTTGCCTTTTGAACAGAAAAGAGAGAAGTTCCTGCAAGTGTTCCTCACTATTTTAGAGCTGAGGCCTAAGCTACAAAGCCAAATGGCATAAGATCCTCCAGGAAGGGATTTGCACAGCCTCAGAATTTAATACATGAAAATATCTGCAAGAAAAAAAAAGTAATGGAGGATTCATGAGTGATTTAGGTTTGAGGCTCTTCATTGGGAACATATGCATGCTGTGCTTCTGCTTAGCAATTTTTTTCTCAGCTACTTCAAGAGCAAGACTTCTCACTTACCCGTAAAGAAGCTAGGAAAACAACAAAGCTATTTTAGTAATATAGATTTTCAAACCAGAGAGCAAATTTTCTCACTCTATGTCAATACAGCAGAAAACACCTCAAACCAGAAAGTCCCAAAGCTGCCTTAGAAGGAAATGGAAGTGATGGTGCCAAGTGGATACAGAGAGAAGGTTCCCAGCTGTCTGGTCTCCCCATACTAGACTCATACTGCCTCTTCTGAAACCATACAGTCATTCCCTGAAAAGCAATTTTAGTACTACGGGAAATTATAGTGTGGAGAGGGTCAAAAATGTAATGCCCTCAAAGCAGAACACTTTCAAAAGTAAAGTTCAATATAAAACCAAACACACTTATACTTTGATCCACCTCCTGCAAACTGCTCGAATATTCATGTTTCCCTTATAATCTGGAGCAACTTAATGGATGTAAACATAAACAGACGGTAAAGCCAGGAACCACACAACCACTGCAGCCACTGTCTACGTCCTGAAGGCTTTTGAACTCGGTTCTGATCAGGCAAAAACTGCTGTAGGGCACGCATCTCCAAGTGCAATAGTTAGAGGGAAGGACATGTGCAGGCAGAGTTATGTATATTTAGTGTTGGGAACACCATCGCAAAACAGAAAAACTGGAGAAAAGCTGGCACAGAGGGCATTTGAACCTGAGATTTTTTTTTTTTAAGTCTTTCATTTTAAAGGGAAACACTGACTTTGAAAGAAGTTCCTTACACCATCCCTAACTCACTTGGGAAACCACAGCAAAGATCTGCCAGTCTGTGGTCTCTGCATAATTGCTCTAGGACTTCCAAGCTAAGGGTCATTCTTTAGTGTCAAAGGTAATGTAATAAATAGAAAAAGAAAGACATTAAAAAATTAGTTATATTTTTGGTAATGTGTGAATTGTGTTTCTCTGAGTCCAACCCAATAAGGAACACAATTTTTTCCACCACTGAGGACCTGCCTACTGGAAATTAACATCTGGGACAGTTCAGCTCATGCCCAATAAAGTAATTTTCAATCTCAGTTAAAGAAGCTGGGAGAGGCAGTCCTATCTGAAAAAAACCATTCAATTATAGTTCCTTTCCGCTGTGCAGTCACAGCCTGCCTGAAAAGATAAATATATCAACACCAAAAGCTCAAACACACAACCCCAGCATTATAAAGAGTCTTTCCATGAGCATTTATACTACCTTGTTAGTGCCTCCTAAGAGCAGACACAGAGAAGCAAAACAATTAAAAGCAAAGAAGGCTTAATTCACAGAAATATCAGAGGAAAAAAACTTACCAATATCATGTAAGTCAGGGAGAGAAGTTGCCGGGATGTTTTCCAGCTGAGTCCTCCACGTGACATTCACCCCCAGGTGGTCCACACTCAGGCATTCAACGTAGACAGTGGAATCATCACAGGCAGAAACCGAGCCAGTATTTCCAAACACATTTACCTCGAATTCAAATAAATGAAACCATGGTTAGTCAGCCTGAGAACATTCTAGTTCTTGCCCTTCTCTTTTCAATTGCACTGTGCTATGCTCAAAGGCAACTTTTTCAAAAAGGCCAAAGCAGAAGTAGGAAAAGATAATTTTAGCATGTCATTTACTCACTATAAGAACAGTCAAAGGGTTTTCTTCCATCAAAATACATTTTTAATAAATATTAGACTGATGTGATATGATTTCTATGGCTACAATTAAGCTGATCTGCTGATGCGGGGTCAGTGAGAATAAACATCCTATTTTCTCAGCTATCCATATGAGAGTTCTGCCAATCTTGACAGATTTCATGGCATTTTCTGCTCTTCCACCACTCTCAAAAGTGCAAAGTTCTACTTTGTGTCTCACCTTTTTTATAATACCAAAAAAAAAAAAAAATCCCAAACCCAACCACCAAACAAAAAACACCACCAATAACAGAGAAGGAATAGAAATTACCTGGAGATGACATAAACCACGGGCCTTCAACTCATCTAAAATAAATATCTGGAATGCCTGGAGTAATCCAGAGTAGTCAGAACTACAAGTCTTCTCAGCAGGTAGTAGTAGTTGAAAATGTGTTTGAGCTTGGACTGTCTGAAGTAACTGGAGCTCTAAAAATAAGTAGAAAGGGCATTTAGTAGCCTCACTATTTAATGTGGAAACTGACTTTCAAAGTTACTTTGAGAAAAGAAAACACTGATTTGGCATTTTGATCTTGCATCAATAGCAACTCCCCATTTCTAAGTGAAAGCAGTAGAGTTGTCTGTATTAAATAGTAAGCAGCAAGAGACGTGCTTGATAAATACATGTTGTGTATTAGAGAAAAAGCCAGGTGACATAGTTAAATAATAAAAAAGAGATATTTTACATTGGAGCACTAACTCACAGAAGGATAAGGAACAATCTGGATCATTAATGATGATTTTTTATAAGCCTTGGCAGATAGGAATTTCCAGACAACTAGATGAAAGCTGACGTTATGCCAATACTTAGAAAAGAAACAGGAAGACAGGAATTATTGACCTGTCAACCTCTGCTTCTCTCAGACACAATCATGAAAGAACTTCTATTAAAAAAAGGAATTAAAATATTAAAGCAATTAATACTAACTCAAATGGGCTTTCAGAAACCTAGCTGTCAAATTAACTAGGAATCAAGTTTTAGGATAGAATAAATTTGATTGCATATTTTGTCTGTGTCAACACAGACATCTACAAGGGCCTTCCAAGTTTTTGATAGCAAACCAAAGTGATGCAAATCACGTAAATCGATGAGAAACCTGTGAGCTCAACAGTCACAAAATGAAAATCTATTTAGCCAGTTTTTAGGCAGAATACAAAAGGTGCCAATTTCTTGTCTCCACAGGAGGTAACACTGATCCCAGGCTTCATGGAGGGTTTGTTATCTCAGATTCAGCACAGTGGTGATGCTGTAATGCCACCTCCAAATGGAGCTGGCTCTTATCCCACCAGCCTGGAGAAGCACAACTCTCCCTCGTTCACCTCCTCTACAGACCCTCACTGCATCATGTACAAGTGTCACTGCTGGAGCACAGTTCTGTCTCTCACTCCCAAAGGGTGAGCGTGGGAAAGCCTGGAGAGCATCCAAGGAGAACAGTGGGAGGGACCGGAGGACACAAAAGCTTGCTTCTTCCTGCAAGGCACAAAGCCCTCTATCTGTTTAGTTTATCAGAGAGTAGTTATGAGCTGATTTAGCCACAATCTCTAAGTGTACACATAAGGAACAGGAAATAAGATGTTTAAGAGTGTGGGTAATTATCCATTGGAATAAATTCCTAAGTATTGTGGTGAATTCTCCATTATCGTGAAGTTTATTCAATTGCCTTCAGATGTGTTGGGAGTTTTTTCTCTCTCCTTAAAACCATGCTCTATTTCAAACACAAATTACTGTGGGAAGTCCTTAGCTTGCATTAAACGGGAGCTTGTATCAGATTGCCACACACTCTTCTCTGGTCTTACAAACAGTTATTCAACTGCAATCAGGCAAACATGGAAGTTACTTCATAACATGCTACAAAAACCTAGTAAATATGATTACAGACAAAAGTCTCAGTCTGAAATCTAAAGCTTAAAATCATTTACATTTGGAATAGAAGACCTGGGGTACAACTAGAATGTGTCAATACAGCAGTTTCCAGAATGGGCTTAACCCATTCTGGAGGTGAAGAGTAGCTCCAAACTTGGCATCAAGATCTGCATTTCTCAAAGTTCAGCACTGCTACAAATTACCATTTTGATCAGAATGTATCTCTAGTTGAAATAATTGAAACGGCCAACATTAATATCCAATTACATGAGCTCTGAATAGACAACTGATGCTTCCAAGATTGAAAGTGACATTTTCTTCTGGAAAGAAAAATGGTTTGAAAAATACCACAATTCAGCCATCAAAGACAACAATAATCCTAAAGAACAGACTGCTGCAAAAAGATGTAGAAGTAACAGTGACTTGATTACGCAAATAAACAGTCAAGTTCTGCCAAACTCAAACATCTGGTGCTCATCTGTTCTTCCAGGACTAAGTGGTTCCATCAGAATCACTTCATGGTGCCAGCATCTTTTAACTTGCAAAGAAAAATCTGCATATAGATTGAATAACTATTTATAGCTATATTATTACAGAAAAGTGGGACTGTTTCCAGCATATGAGCTAGCCAAGAGACAGAGATGAAAATGGCAGAAGATAGGACTAATCTACTGCACCTTAGTTTAGCAACTCCCATATAACTGTTGTGTCCTATTATTGTCATTCACACAGTAGTTTCATGATGAAAGCACATTTTTGTACATCTATTGACATTGCTCTGTGCCCTTCCCAGCCCACAGCAGTGCAGACGTACTCTGGCAGGCCTGATAGAGCGGGGCAGCTGAGACCCATCGATGCTGTTGCACATCACACTGAAACGACGTGCCGGAAGAGGCGCTGTGGAAGCCCTGGCGACACACCAGCCGGCACTGCTGAACGCTTGGAGCTTGCCCAGAAACGTTTTCACAAAATACAGCTCCATTGAAAACAGATGAGGCACCGAATGGCAGAGCACACTCCGGACCTTTAGGCACATGAGAAAGGGGATATATTAGTGGCATACTATGAAGCACTTCTAGTAAAAAGTCTACATAACCCTTGTATCAACAGAGAAAACCTAGACAGCACCCTCTGCATTTCCCACTCATGTCAACTTGGATCAAGTTTGTTGTCAGCATGGTTCAGTTTACTAAAGCTGATGAAAAGACACATATTGACTTTGATGGGTAATGCCTTGGGTCCAGAAAGCTACATGCATGGTTTCTAAGAACAGAAAAGTTTAAAACAGTCATGAATAAATTTAAGTATGAAATGAGACGGAGGTTTCGAACCACCAGCAGAACAAACCTTTACAAAAGATATTGAGTGGAAATAGGCAGAGCCAAAAAAAAAAAAAAATCTCAATTACCTTTATAGTGAAGTTTGAAAACTTTAAGATCAGGAACTCATGACTACAGTGTCTTCAACAACATCAGGATGTTTCTGGTGACTCAGCAGGTCCTTAACAGTAGTCTACAGCTTTGGACTTGGAGCACAAATTTTACCCTATCAACTCACTCTGCATAGAATCATAGAATCATAGAATCGTCTAGGTTGGAAAA